GGAGATAGATTTGATCCAATGAAGTAGAGATTGAATGTATACAATTCTTTTGAAATGCAACAAAGTACTTTAGGTCTGTTATCTGCTTGATCTAATGGGTTCGCCTCCCTTCTATTTCCCTTAAACTTTTCTATGAAATGTTCTGTCCATCTGCTTAATATTTCTTGCTGTTTTGTCAATATAATACCCTCTTTATCTCTACACATCGTTGTTCTCGGTTTGAATTCTTTTCTGCTTTTGTTGAATTTCTGGTAAAAATTTCTTGTCTCTATGGGTTTACTTAGTTCCTGTAGTTCTTTTTTATATTTATTTTTTTTTCTTCGATTTTCTTTTCTTCTTTACGTAGTTGTTTATATTTCTCCTCTGCTGGTCAAGTTCTTTGTTCCTGTGGAAACATTAAATATGCTTTGTTTTCTCTTTATTTTCTAATTTGATATTCTTCGTCAATCGGTCATTCGTTCTTGTTTGTTGTTTGTCTTCCTTGCTTAGTACTTCTTCAGCTGTTTCTTTTATGATGTTTCTGCATTATCATCATTTCTCAGTTATGTTTTCATGTTTTAGTCTGTTTTATAGTTTGATGCTTATATTTTCTATATACTCATTTTTTTTTTAATTTTTAAGACATTATACATTGTATTGTCCATGTTTAGAAACTCTTTTCTTTTATATGTGGTGAAATTTGGGCCCTTACCTTACTTTCGAAGATAGGTAGAAGTATGTGTACTATCTAGTTCATTTAGGAGATTGTGGAGAGCTCGTAATCTACACAAGGATCAACTATTCCAATTGTCGCAATTCACTAATCATGTTCCTTTTTCTCAATTTAAATAACTGGATAAGATTGAATATATTTTGCTATCTTGCAAATTGTAGTTATTTTCTAAGATTAATCAAACATTTTTCTCATCAGGTTACAGTTTTTTGCCCTGTCATTGTCACTTTACAATACTTTATAAAGTAAAGAAAAGGAAGGGACTCTAACTGAAAGTACGTTATTGCTGAGGCTAAACTGAACGAACCTGTTGAAATATTAGAAATGTACCAAAAGCCATTTTAAAGACTTTACCTTTATTAAACATAACCTGCCAAAAAACAAAAGTTCTTCTAAATTACAAGTATCAAAATTCTTTTATATGAAGTATAATCTTGATAATTTCAATACTATTTGCGGTCCAAAAAGTCATAAATGGGTACCATTTAAAATTTTTAAGAGAAGCTGAGAAGTTAAAAGATAGCTTGAAGATTTACAAGAAGTTGATACTGCACTACCACCCATTACGCAAAAAAAAGATTTTGTATGAACGGTGAATATGCAGAATTTTATAAATTATTTGCATTTGCCTCTTATGTTTGTTTTTTATTATAGTTCTTGTTTATGTCTTTTTATTTCGAGTAAATAGTAATATTTTTTGCATAAAATACAGATTTTAATAAATGTCTTATATTTTTATCACTGTGGAATAAAGCTCTATGCTGGTTCTTTTTTTTCCTGAAAATAAATTTATAGCATAGACCCTTGTACCAATGCTTCAATTTATTCCTTTCCTCCCATTTTCTTCGCTACTTTGGCCTGTGAATGGTTATGTATGATCTTAGCAGACTTTTTTTAAGTTTCAGTTTTAGCTCTACTACTTTTAAATTTCTTCTATTATTTCCCAATCCAAATGAAGACTCCTGCACGTCAGGAGTATACATGCTGATCTGCCAATCTTTATTTACCTCTATGATCAGTTGTTCCATTGATCAAAGTTCCCAAGTCCTGATATTTTTCTACTTGTTTCATCACGTTACCATTTATTGTGACTATGTGGTGTATATTTTGTGTAAATTTTTAAATTACCATATATTTTTTTAGCGATGACAGTAATTCCCAGCTCAGTACAATTCATACTTAAGCTTTTGATTAGATATTATATGTCTTATATGCTTCTTACTGATGTTAATTAATTTTCTGTTAACGGTAACTCTCGCTTTGATCTTATTAAGCATGTTTTTAAAAATTTCTTCAGAATATAAGTTAAAAAGAGTGGCGATAAAACGCATCCCTGTCTAACTTCTCTACAGATCTTCATTCCGACTGATTTGAACTATGATACTTTAGTTACAATATAATGTTTGGACTATCTTTATGATTTTACTGTCAATGTGTTTATTCATAAGTCAACAAAGCACGTAATCAAAGTGTAGGTCAACTTACATCACGACAGCCATGTTGATGGAAAATAGTTCTTCTCGAGTACCCATTCATTTCGGAAACCAAACTGCATCTCACTAATCTCCTCCCTTTAACTTTTGATAGATTACCTCTTATGTATAACTTTAAGCAGCACTTTTAAAACATGGCTCATCTTCTTCCTATTCAAGTGCCATCTCCGCGGTGGAGGTCGGCAATCATCATAGCTATTCGGACTTTTGAGATGGCTGCTCTGAAAAGTTCATTTGATGTACATCCGTATCACTTTCTCAGGTTGTGCAGCCATGATACTCTACGCCTTCCTATGCTTCTCTTCCCTTGGATCTTTCCCTAAATAATCAGTTGGAGCAAGATGTATTTCTCTCCACGTGTAATATGTCCGAGATATTCCAATTTTATTGTTTTAATTACATTTAAAATTTCTATTTCTTTATTCATCCTTCGCAGAACCTCTTTGTTTGTGATGTGTTCCGTTCACGATATTTTCAGAATTCTTCTATACACCCACAGCTCGAATGATTCCAGTTTTTTCATTGATGTCAAATTCAAGGTCCTGGATTCAATTCCATAAAACAAAGTCGAAAAACATAGCACCTCCCCAATTAATTTTTAGTTCAAATTTTAAATCCCTTGTAAATAGCACTTTTCTCATTTTGTTGAAATTTGCTCAAGCCTTTTCTATTTTGATTTTGATTTCCTGAATGTAATCATCTGTGGAGTTAATCATTGTTCCCAGATGTGCATATTTGTGCACTTGTTCAACGGTGGTTCCGTTTATTAGAAGATTTTTGGTTTTTTGTTTGAGTTTTCAATACTCTTATAAATTTCTTTTTCATGAAATTTATTGTTATACCGTACTCTTTTCCACACTTCGCTATTCTGCTCACCAGTCTCTGAATGTCTTCAATATTTTCGACTAAGATCACAGTGTCGTTCGCATATCTAATGTTGTTAATGGGAACTCATTTACCTTTATTCCAGCTGTTTCATCTTCAAGAGCGTTTTCCAGGATCTCTTCGGAGTAGGCATTAAAAAGAATTGGCGATAATACGCATCCCTGTCTCACATCATGTCTAATTTCAATTTTTTCTGACAGCTGTTCATTAACACGTACTTTTGCTCGCTGTTTATAGTATGAATTTGATATGATCCTAAGGTCGTTGTCGTCAATCTTCTTTGATTTCAGCAGATTATTAATTGTTTATGTCGTACTTTATCAAATGCTTTATTATAGTCAACAAAACATGCGTAATATATCTTGATTGACTCATGAGACTATAATAATTAATAACCTATATCTCGTAGAATTTTAATTCTAATTTTCAGACCAAAAAAGTTTAAAAAATATTTAAAATTATTTCAGTTCTATAATAAGTGCAAATGTAACATTTTTTTTCTATATTTTTTTTAACCAAGATATTGTGGAAATCATCATCAATCGATGCATTAAAAAATATTTACATCATGCAACTTTATCTTGACCCAATTGTGATAGGTTGAATAAAAAAAAACAAGACTTCATTATCTCGGACTTTTATTTAGCAAAAACTAGTTCACATACAAAAAGCAAAAACACATAGAAAAATTGACAATATTCTCAAAAGAAAATAATCATAAATCGAACTAAATATTAGTTAAATTAATTTTCTGAACATTGCCTTTATTTACAACAACTAACTATACAAGATATTTGATACTTCACAAAACTTACGTAGATTTTATGTTACGGATTTTGAACATTAAACAATTCAATTATCTTGATCTTGGGATATACTCATCCTAAAATTAGTTTATCTCTTAAGAATATATAGACATGTGTATTCTTAGCCATATTAGCATAAAAGCGTCACAATTTTTTGTTACTGTCACTAGTTTTGGTTAAGAAAGTAACAATCCTGTAGTATATTATAATGATGCAACTTGGAAGATGTCCAAAAATAGCAATTAAGGCAAATATAACTAAATGTAGCCTGCTGTGAACATATTTTTCGTCAAATACAAGCAAAAGGGTTATTGAAATCTTTTGCTTCTCACGTAAAGATAGTATTAGAGCTTCAGAAAACTAAACAGAGTGAGTAAACACATGTATTCTGCACATATATGTGTAAAATGGCAAAGTAAACACAGCAACATGTAGATTCTTTAAAAATACAGAGAAAACCTCCGTATATATCGTCTGCCACTGCTGGATACTTGTTCACAAACTCTATTAACACCTGTAAAAGATCAGTTTAAACCCCAATCTTTAATACAGATGCATGATATATGCACAGTATCTTTCAGATGGAAATTGGAGATCAACAATTTACACCGTATTGGATTGCTACTTGCAGAACCATTACACCCAATCGGCTCTATCATCCCGACATCAAATTAAAAAGATGATAATATGCTTTTTCTGTATAAGTTATTACTATCAGTCTATTGACCGAATTAGTAAAATTAACTGTGGAAAAAGAGTAACAAAATGGCATCTAAAGAGAAATTTTTTGCACTGCCATTGTACTTCTTGCTCTGTCCAATAACGTTTGTTTCGTAACCATGACCGTAAGTTTTTACGACCTATTCATATTTTACCCATACCTTTGCTCTGAATAATTAGGCTAGTTCTTGATCTTTTTTTAGTGCCTGAGGACTTTCTCGTTACTCATATGACTGGTCCAGAAAATTTAGTGAATTCGTCAGCAACATTGCATTTCAAAGGCTTCTATTTTATTTATAGTATCAGTTTTAAGCGTCCATGTCTCACATTCTTAGAGAATAATACTCCATATATAACATCGGAGTGTTCGTAATCTTTTGTGAACTGAAAAGTTTCTATTTGTAATGATAGGTATTTATTTGCGAAATGCTTTACCTGCCATTTTAATCTTCGTCATTATCTCTTCATCGCATGTATTTTCATTACTCAACCATCTTTTCAAATAACTGAAGCTTGATACGATCGATACGAAGCTGTTAATATTAATACCTTGTCTGAAACCTGCCTCATGCACTCGGTAGTATTTGTAAGTCCTCCATGGTTGCGGCGATGGTGGTAGTATTATCATTATGTACTATCTCACCTGTAGTCTATAAAAATCATAGATTTTTTAAAAGAACGCTTCTTCTTCTTCTTCTTCCGTCTAGTATGTAGGCTTTAAAGCCTGTTTCTTCTTCAATAGTAGCCTCCTAAATTGTTTAAATTGTCGCATTATTATTTGGTGACTTATCTCGTGCTATTCGTACTATTGTATCCTCTGCCATTCTACTGATATGTTCGTTCCACTCCTATTTTCGTTTTGTCACCCATCCATTTATGTCTTCTATATTGCATCTTCTGCTTATTTTTTCGCTTCTCTCCCTATACACTAGACTTCTCCCTGATATTCGTCGGAGTATTTTCATTTCTGTTGTTTCTAGCAATCGTCTCGTTTTGGATGCGTCAGGTCTTGTCTCCGCCGTGTATGGTCTAATTGCTGCTTTATAGATTTTTTTTATGTCTTGTCTTAGGTGTTTGTTTTTCCAGATTGTGTCATTAAGAGAACCCGCCGCTTTACTTGTTTTTAAGCTTTGTTGTCGTACTTCTTTTTCAACATCTCCGTAACCAGTTATATCTATTCCTAGATATCTAAACCTTGCTTCCTGCTTTATTATTTTCCCATCAATTTCGATTTTACACCGCAGTGGGTATTTCGATGTTGTCATACATTTGGTTTTGTCTGCTGATATTATTATCGTGTATTTCTTAGCTGTTGTATTGAAGATATGTGTTAATCTTTGGAGCTTGTCTTCTGTTTCGGCGATTAATGCGGCATCGTCTGCATAACATAATATTTGTATTTCTTTGTTCCCCATTCTGTAGCCATGACCTTTACGTACTGCTTGTATTATTTCGTCCATTATTATATTAAAGAGAAGTGGGCTCAACGAGTCACCCTGTCTGACTCCGCTTTGAACTAGTATACACTGTATTAGTTTTCCATTTATCTTTGCCTCTATTCGATTTTGGAGGTAGATGTTTTCGATGGTTTGTATAATATTGATTGATAGATTTTAGAAGAACTAGAAGAACACAGTTTTGTAAATTAATTATACTTTTTTTGTTGAACACTGTCAAACAATTTCGATTGATCGCTCTCGGAGTTTTTGAATAACTGTCAAATGAAGCTGAGGCTATTTCTGATAACATATATTTGCTAAACCTTGCATATATTTATTCTTTTTATTATTGCGCTGCTTAAAATCAATCATAAGAAAGGTTGAACTTTCAAAGAGATATTCTAGAATAAGTGTAGTATTTTCGAAATAACAGTTTTTATGTTTACTCAATTTCCTGGTATCCTCATATGTAATGCTTCCTAATCGTTAAAATTTTTTTTCACTTCTTGATTTTTGAGTACTTGACTACTTGCTTTATTTACTATTCATCATACTTTCCGGTTTACCATTTTGGTTTTACTAGTGAGGAAAATAGTTGTTGAGTTATAATAACCACTGGATTGTCTTTCTCGTTCCACATGAAGCAAAATATTGATTAGTACCTACAGTGGAGCCTCGATTATCCGTCAGGGTACCGGACCATGGGTATGACGGATAATCGAAAAGACGGTTAACAGAACATTAAAAAAAATCATAGTATAACTCTCAAATTTTATTTGTATGTTTTATTTGACAATATAAGAGGGATTTATGTTAGAACACTTGAATCAATTTGATTTAAATTATTCCGAAATCTTTGTTTTATTGTTACTTCACATTTTGCAACAGCTGAATTTCTTAATCGACGTAAAATCATTAAATCTACCTTATTTGCTTCTTCTTGTTGAGAATACCACTTGATACATTGTTGTATGTGAGATGCAGCTCATCTAGCTTCTTTACGCAAATCTTTGTGAGTTGTAATAGCATCGTCAACATCGCCACTATCAAAGTCGTCTTCTGAATCAGTTTCATCCGCCTCTGTTATCATTTCAACGATTTCATCATCTATCAGCAATCGATAGCCGTTTGCGTCCTCAGCACAAATTAACCATTCGTTTATGTCATCTTTAGACAACGAAAACAAAACAGTTGATTCAGCCATAACTTCAGTTAAGGGGAGCATTTTGATCGTAAGTTGATTCAAGCTATAATTTATTCCAGGCTTTTTTCAGCGTTACTTCCGCAACATCTGCCCAAACATCCACAGCATTGTCGACTGCGTGTTTTAAATTGTATGCTTTCCAGCATTCTAGCAAATAATATTACTCTTCCATAACTAGGTTTTGAATATTTTTTTTCCTGTATCTTCTTTTGAATATGTTAATGACCGAATGATCCATTGGTTGTATCAATGATGTATTCGCAGGCAGAAAAGAGTACGTGATATTTTTATCGTCACTTCGCAGCATACCGGCTTTAGGATGGGAAGGTGCATTGTCCAAAATGAGAATCCTCTTTGGTGGAATTTTTTTTGCAAACAAAATGAATTGATGACTAAATTTTTACTTATGTTGTCAATATAACTTATGTATGGACCCTGACGGTTAACAGAGGTGACGGTTAATAGAGAGACGGATAATCGAGGTTCCACTGTACTAGGAATCGTGTGGTTTAAAAATTACGTCAGCTAACTCGGAAGGTTTTTTTTAGTTAAATATATTGTACAAAAATATTTAAATCATTTTCAAAATTCGTAACATAAAACTACATCATCTACTCAGTAATAAGAATTTTAAAATTAATTTAAACCTCTTTCCAATCATTTTGAGTATGACAAATACATTATGTTGTTTTAATATTTCCTCTTTTTACTCTTCTCTATTTATCTCACACTTAAATATTCTTCTCATTTTCTTCGTTTATCGTCTAGATAAAATATTACTACAGAAGAGAAATTGAGAAAAATATTGTTGTATTTCACATACCCCTGATTATGGCCCTGTGCGTTAGAGAAGACGGGAAACCTCTCTACGTCACCAAACACCGATACAGATTACATTCAAGAACTTCGGACTTTTATAATATTTCGATCAACCCGCTGTTTTCGAAAACAGTTCGTTCTCATTTTATAAGCCAGTAGGGGCGGGCTTTGAGATTAGTATTGGCGATTCTACGTATCAATGTGATTTTTTTCTAAGCAACAATTATTATTGCAATTAGTAATTGTCATTTTTATAATTGAGTTTTTGAGTTAAATAAAGTTATTTGTGCTTTAATTATTCTCTGAACTCCCAAAACAGTTGGTACATTTTATTTTAAACATCTACTTTAAATTTTTGAGAATACTAAATTATTAGTTGCTTTCGAAATTTCGTCATTAAATACTTTTATATAAATAAACATATAAAACAATTATATAATCTACAGTTTATTATTTTTTAATAGTAATATTTCTGCTCATGTATTGTAATGTTTTAACATCACTTTATATTATATTTATAAAGGTCAGTGGACTGTGCACTCTAAGGTATAAGTTCCTGTCCTTTTTCTCAATATTTGTGCGGCAGTAAAACCATAACATGTTTCGATCAATATTGGGGCTTATCAGATAATGATAGATAGATAATAAAATAAAAGTCAAAAAGGTCAACTAAACATGATACCTAGACGCCGTTTACCATGGGTCCCAATTGTCCCATTAATGATTTTATTATCAATATACAATCGAAGCCAAAAGACTTAACTGGTATGGACACCTTCAGAGAATGCCGGAAAATAATGCAATGACCGCCAGAGATCTAACAACTGAAGATTGCTTCGACAGAAAACGCTGGAAATTAGGATGCGAGAAGCGGCGCCAGCTGTAGAAGACTCGCTTGTTATATATATGATTTTATTAAGAAATTTATAATATTTCTATTCCTTTCTTTTCAGTTCTGTGACCTTCATAGAAGCCTTGTTTTGCAGAAAGATACATGTTAAATTCCCTGATCTACAGTAGGACTGATTAAAATTTCAGTACTAAGAGTCAATCATTCATAGATGATGACACCTGAATAAGTCTGAAAGAGAAGAGTGAAATAAAAGGAAACTTAGTTATCCTATTTTTTATACATTTTTTTACGGTTTAATAAATAATATATTTACATAATTGATGATTGGCATAAAAGGTATAAACAAATTTAGAAATACCTATTCCTTAATCGGTTATCGAGATCTATATTCGTATTATAAGACATTTTTACAGTCTATGTACAACAATTTGAAACTATTTAGAAACTACCTTTAGAAAGAACTATCCTGAATTTAAACAAATCATCCAAAAATATTTTTAAGGCAGTTTATCACAAAAAGCAATCCGTTTGGACATTTTTAAAAGTTTAAAAATTTGTGCAAGATTTTACTGGTCTCTTTGTATTTTTTTAAATAACTACAAAAATAAATATAAGAATTCTTATATCTAAGCATATCACATAAATTTATACAATTTATATACAATAAGTTGTGAACATTCACAGGGGGTTTAAAAATATTTGTTAATATGTATATGTTTTTAACGATAAGTTTCACAACTTGTTTAGGGGCTTCTGTATTTTGGGGACTTTACGATTATATTTACAAAATTTAGCGAGAAAAGAAAGTTTGTGTTTATTTTGAATTGTACAAAAATAACTTTTTTAGTTATTAGATCAAGGTACTTGTAATGCTATCAAAATATATGTATTTTTGTAATGCTTTACCTCTAAGATATTTGCCTTTTTTTACTCTATATTCTATATTGTAAGAGTAATCAAACAGTAGATAAATTTTTAAAGTGTCTTTAAAATCAACCCATCAACGCTGTTCAGTGAGTGTGGAGATTTTCGTGGCTAATATATCTAAAAACTTTGTTAGAGAACCGTTACAAATGCATTTTATAACAACATACAAAGATAAGTGACAAGAAAAATTATCAGTAAAATAAGCAGGACTTTTCCCATTGTGTAACCATCAAACTTACATGTTTGATGTTTAAAAAGAACTGTTACGAGTCATATGCTGTAGACATCAGATCACTTCTTTCATAATAGGTCTTCAATCTACATTGGAAGCTCTATAGATAAAGAGCCTTATTTCATGAATACTCGAAGAACCAGAATAAACCAAGTCAAAAAACAAATGGAATGGAGAACGATGGACTTATAGGAGGACCTAAAACAAAACTACTTCCAAAAATGATATTTAGGAGACTAGGAAACAAGACGTTTGACCAATTTGTGCTTCCAGTTATGACTTACGACGCCGAAACAAATTCATTAATCCAGATCATTCATAGTAACCAAGTTCAGAGTAGCTCGAAGAAGAATGCCGCTGGCTACTTGGACCTACTCTCAGAGACAAGGTTAGAAATGAAAAAATAAGACGTACAGGCGTCACAGAGCATAGCATGGCTTAAGTGGAACTGGGCAAAGCGGTGGAACCAAAAAATTACCGTGTGGAGACCACGAGCGAATGTTGAAAATCCTACAAAATGGACAGACGACTTTAAAAGAATCGCTGGGAATTGGCTGTGGTAAGCTGGAGACCGACAAAACTGGAAGAAATTAGGGGAGGCCTATGTTCATATCTGGACGCAAAAGGCTGGATGATAAAAGTGAAAATATCAGGTATTTCGGAAATAATTATCCGGAGCTCAAAGAAGAACGATCGGAACGATGAGGGAACAAACAACTTCTCGAGGAAAACCCATTCGACACCAGCTGTTAGAAGAACTGTGTCTACCAAAAGTAGTCACAATGATAAAATTATGAAAAAGTGGTGGTTTAACTTACAAAATTACTCTTCTGGATATCAATACAGCTGTGGCTTCCAAGAACTACATATATGGACAAAATGGTGTCTCATAATGAAATAGCAACCATGAAAGATATTCTAGTATGCTAGAAGAGTCCTTTAATATCATAAAACTCCCTAAATCGTAACGTGTGCTGGACAATTTTGCAGAAATATAAGTAGAGATCTGATGGTGACATTAGCCCGTCTTGATAAAGAAGAATTGATAAAAAAGACAAACTATTTTAAATTAAATAGCCTGTAAGCCTTATTAGAAACTTATGAAATATGTAGATAGAATAATCAACCTAATGAAATAACGTCGTTCATTACGAAGGATCAAGAACAGGCAGGATGTGGAGGGAAAAAAATTATAATGATTTTTTAAAGTCCTGTTTGTCAAAACAAAGAAGAATAAACTATTTTCTGAAGAAAATTGTTTTTCAAATACTGTTGAAATGTTATAAAATTGTAATTTAAATGCTAATGTCATTTAAACAGTTATCTCCACCATAGGGCTGATTTTGTTTGTTGCACAGTAAAATATAACCGATGATAATATAATACCACAAATCCAAGGCGTAGTTAAAAATTCATATCTTCTAGAATACACACAAACTTTATCATCTCACGACGTACTCACTTAATTAAAAAATAAAGCGTCAGTTAGCATGTTTTGGGGGATGTGTCTATATACAGCGCTGTCATAGTTCGACTAAAATCTAAAATTTCACATACTTTCTGGAATTGTATGCCCATGATATGAAAATAAATTACTGATTAAAGTCTTTATGTAGAAGGGCGGATGGCACTACTTTAAAGAACTCTTTTATGAAAAATGTACAGATCTTTTTCCTAAAAATACACTTTTAAGTTACTAGAAGAAAGAGCTGAGTTTTTGGTAATTTTTCAAAAATATTTATTAACGTTTGTATAACATTTTTATAAGAATTAATTAATCTTAATTTTCCCATGTTAAAATTATAATTTTTTATACATTAAACTTATATTTTTTAACACTAAATCACTGATATATAATGTTTATTAAATATTCACAACATTCATTTACATTTGTACTGTTTGTACTAATATAGAAGGTAAACATATTTAGACGACTTGCATAAAGCATACCATAACTAAAAGAAAAATTTGTTTCTCAGTAAAACAGTTTATTTTTCAAGAATTCCACCAACCATCGTTAACAATTGGGTCCTCCATATCCGTATCTGTGGGCCGTATTGACACAATTTCCATTCCTGTCAGTGGCGCTTTGCGTAAGTGCATGATATGGAGACATAATTTGAATAAATAAAAAAAAAATTCTTGCAGAATTAGATATAAAACGCCAGAATAGTATAAAAATATACTGTCTTGAGAAAGATACTTTTTAAGTCATAAATTATGTATGTATATTGCCTGGCGTTGCAAATGTAATATTTTTTTGATAATGAACTGGGTTCATATAATGCAATAAACGATTAACGTTTATATAAATCTGACAAAGAACCTAGTAGCTGTCTTTATTGCTATTATTTAAAAATTTGACGTTTAGCATGAGCTGCATTTTTAATACTATCTACCAAACATTCCTTTTCAACGACTCTTGTACATTAACGCAATAATTGTCACTAATTAACGGAATTTGAAAGGAAACGAATAATAGGGATGCTAGAGACTGGCATGACTCTTAGGGAAATGCCTAATAGGGTTGGAATGTTTCCACTGTGATGTTATGTTGAAATATTTGGACGAAACAACAGGCATACCAATGTCGTAGAGGTTCTGGAGAGTTCACATAAGCAGTGACTGTGAAGAACACCAATTAACTGGAAAGAAAGGTATTTAATTCTACAGACCACGGGCCATTAACCGAAAGAAATAAAAAAGTAAGCCTGCAGTGGTACGAAGGGCCGAATGGGACCAGGAACACAACTCATTCGTATTTACTTATTCGATGATCGATGACTGATAAGCTGAAAAGGGGAAGAAAGACGAAAACTTGAATTATGCGTGGAACGTGAGATGGTGCTTACCAGAAGACTTATACTTTAGGATGCCATAATATATAGAAGTAGGTCCAGTCTAGTATTTTTTAGAGAGAAACATAAACATCTAAAATAAATATAAAAAAAAGGTACATAAAAGTAGAAGGTAAGCCACTTCAGGGCAATTTAATCTTTGACCTTTGCGGCTTGAATCGTCCGCGCATCCGTTTTGTTTATTATTTTCACCCTCATATCGTGGAATGTCCGTTTAAGATAATATTTTAATAATTATTATAATTTTGAAAAATACATATCATTCGTTCCGGATTGTCCGGAATTGTTCTAAGCAAAGTGCAGTTATATATGTCTATAAACTTTGCAGTTAAAATGTCCTATTTGCGAGAACTTAAAAACCCTATTGTCCAGCAATATTGCAGTTATCATTTTATTGTTTTTTTTTTTCGTCAAGCTAACGTCACCTTTCTTCCATAGCCAGCAAGTTCATAATATCTTTCTTCTATTAAACATATATGCAATATATGGTAGGCAGAAGGTCGAACAGAGTGCTTGCTCCTCTGATGAATTTGCAGCACCTTTGTTATCCGATTTAGAATGCTTGGACCTTATTCGAGTAGAGGAGAAGCTCCAACTTATTAGGTACCTACCTACTGAATTTTATAATTATGGATCATTTCAATTGTCATGAGACTTTAAATAATTGATAAACTATATGTACCCAGTTAATTACCAAAAAATTGAAATCGTAGGCTTCCACGGCCAGAGTCAGAATTATAGTTTATTCGTCTTCCGGGTTTGGACCGTGTCATTTGTGAGTGACCCAAAAGTGGGTTCATCTCGACGTTTCGCTACAATTGTATGTAGCTTCTTCAGGAGAAGAAAAAGAAAGAAAGAAGAAAACAAAAGAACAGGAAGATGGGTAGTTAGCAACGGTAACTCAGTTACTCAACGCAACCAGAGGCGAATACTAACTACCAAGATGGGCATTTGGTCACAGTAACTCAACTACTCAACGCAGCCAGAGGTGAAAACCAAATGCCAGGACAGGGATTCACGTCCAACAGCTCAGAACACTAACGCGTCGAGAGGCGGGGAGTGAATCCTAACTTCGGGGATCCTAACGGGGATTCACTCCCCGCCTCTCGACGCGTTAGTGTTCTGAGCTGTTGGACGTGAATCCCTGTCCTGGCTTTTGGTTTTCACCTCTGGCTGCGTTGAGTAGTTGAGTTACTGTGACCAAATGCCCATCTTGGTAGTTAGTATTCGCCTCTGGTTGCGTTGAGTAACTGAGTTACCGTTGCTAACTACCCATCTTCCTGTTCTTTTGTTTTCTTCTTTCTTTCTTTTTCTTCTCCTGAAGAAACTACATACAATTGTAGCGAAACGTCGAGATGAACCCACTTTTGGGTCACTCACAAATGACACGGTCCAAACCCGGAAGACAAATAAACTATAATACCAAAAAATTATTATAATATATATTTAAGTTTACTAAGTATTGTCTTTTCAATATCAGGTAGCATATATACTATAATAAAATAAAAAAATTGCAATATGTTCATTTAGATAGTTAATATGATACTGGCAAATAAATTTTGTAAACATTTAAAAAACAAGGGACTATATTAAACAAAACTTTACACAGACATTTTTTAAGGCATTTCTGTAAGTGTCATTTTTTATTTTTTAATGATTTACTTTAACATTTAGACAACTAAATTACTTCTAATAAAATATCACTAGAGATCAATAATTACATTTACCTAATAACAACTTAATTATTAAATATATAGTGAATTCAAGACAAAAAACCGCAAAAAATTGGAAGGACTGTATTAAAATGATGCTGTAAATACACCATAGAAAGGCTATTAAAATGAAGCTATGTTTACACCATAAAAGTGAAAAACAATCGAAGTATTGAAGAGAAGGTAACTTAAGGTACAGAGGCGCTCAATTACCATAATCATTAATTTTAATTTTAAATTTTCTCATGATATATAATTACAAAGAATTAAATATTGAAAACAGTTGTTACTAGAGTAAAAAATACTGCATAATACATATCGGTATCAACCTTAATAAAAACTTGATCAAATCATTAAAAAATAACGACAATTTTAGTATCTTTGATGATTATATATAATTATATTATTTAAATTCACTTCAATTGGTTATTGAAGAGAAAGTGTTTTGGTGCCTGGGAAGAAAGACAACATATCTCCTGGCTCCATAACCTAAGAACTTGGTTCAATATGATAGGCATGTTTAGAGTAGCTGCAAACAAAATCAAAATTGCCGTGATGATCGCTAACACGCGGAACGGACAGGCATCACAAGAAATTGCTGAAGGGAATAAAGTTATTTTTGGTTCTCATTTTAGTTCTGATTTTTAATATAAATATTGTATATTACATAAGCACCTCATATACAAATCGTACGATGCTCATTGAACATATATTAGAAAATGACAACCTAACAAAACAACATATGACATTTTTCCAGACATAAGGAGATAAAATCAAACCTATAGGTTCAAGATAAATATGAAGACAAAAACACAGATTTATGACATATGGGGCTGAAAATTGGATTATAAACAAGAAAAACAGCAGTAAGATAGTAGCAACAGCGACAGAATGCCTGCGAAGATGCTGCCGAAGATGAAGATGACGAAATAAAGCAAAGAACATCAATAGAATCAAACAGGAAATAAGGAAATAAAATCAAACCTATAGGTTTAAGATAAATATGAAGACAAAAACACAGATTTATAAAACAATAGTGCGAAATATTATGACATATGGGACTGAAAATTGGATTATAAACAAGAAAAACAGCAGTAAGATAGTAGCAACAGAGATGAAATGCCTGCTAAGATGCTGCAAAATGTATTGCCCACAATGGAACATTGTTCTTAAACTTCATTAAGTTGGGTGGTGTGTACTCTATATATTTTTTACATTACAACTTGTAGGTTGTTAAATAATTTTTTAATTTAATAGTTTGCAGAAGTCAAACAAAAATTTTTAAACCAAAAACGCAGCTGTTTCATAAACTTTTTGTAAAATTATTTTCACAGCACTATTACATACAACCACACCTCTCAACTACCATCCCTGGTAGAGAACCGTACACCACATTAAGATGTTGGTCAAAGTACAACATGGAAATACTGCCTAGCTTCCTCGGTGTGCAACAAGGAGGTAAACTCACAGGTTTCGCGATTTGCTTTAGATGCGTGTGAGCATACCTCTGTAACGTTACATAAGGGCATTCTCCTGAGCACATGTAGGCATCGTAGCGCTTGGGAGCGATTATGAAATCCAAGCCGATGGCCTCGAAGTCGACCATTAGTGGATAGCGGCAGCAGATGGTCTCGTTGGATTCGTCGTCACAATTCAGACCGATGTTACGGCGGACTCGATGTTTGGCTTCTACGGTGGAAATTTCAACAAAAGGTGTCTGAAACGAAAAGAAAATTATTAAAGCATAATTTATAAAAGAGAAGGTGTCGACCAATAGATATAGATTATAAGATCAGTGAATAAGGGTCTTAATAAAGCTAACACATATATCTCTTAAGCTAGACTAGCAAATAATATAATCATAAAATTCAAGGAGGTCAATCTTACAGTATCTACCAATTAGAAATACTAATGGTAGCTGGGCAAGAAGCAATATACAAAAGGCCAACAGGTTTGCTGACCACCTAGAAAATACTTTTCAACCAAATGAAGAACAAGAAAGAATAAACTTGGAGCTCCCTGATCAAGACGAAATGGAGATTAGCCTTGTAACTCCAAAAGAAGTATATTTGGAAATAAAAGAAAATATAAATCCAAAGAAAGCTCCTGGATTTGATCTAATTACTGGGGAAGTATTAAAGCAACTTCCAAGGAAAGCTATTATAAAATTAACACATCTTATAAACGCTTCCTTTAGGTTGAGGTACGTACCAAAGGTATGGAAGGTGGCAGAAATTATAATGACACTAAAACCAGGAAAACCTCCACAAGAAGCTTCTTCATATAGGCCTATTTCACTGTTACCTGTCATGTCTAAATTATACAAAAAATTACTCTTGAAGAGACTAAAACCGATTATAGAGGCAAAAAATCTAATTCCTAATTCCTAATCAATTTGGGTTTAGAGCAAGCCACTCAACGATAGATCAGGTGCATAGAATAACATATATCATAGAAAAAGCTCTAGAAGAAGGAAAAGTTTGTTCCGCAATTTTCCTCGATGTATCGCAGGCTTTTGACAAGGTGTGGCATGACGGACTATATCATAAAATGATATGCTACTGACCAAAACAATATTCTGAACTACTAGAATCATATATATCCGACAGATACTTTCGAGTTAAATATGAGGAAGCATTGTCAGAATTAAGAGAAGTTAAAGCTGGAGTTCCACAAGGAAGTGTCCTGGGGCCAGTGCTATACCTGCTCCATACCAGCGATATTCCATCATTAGAACCTAACACAATTGCGACATTTGCAGACAACACATGCATTCTAGCAGTCGGACAAAACCACGAGGATACAGCTACCATGCTACAGAACTCTGTTGAACAAATTAACATCTGGACCAGCCGATGGCGTATCAAATTGAATGAAACAAAATCTGTTCATGTCAATTTTACTAACAAAAGAGAACAACATATCCCAGTACATATAAATAGAAACCAAATACCTTATGAAAATACGGCAAAATATTTGGGTATGACGTTAGATTCCAAGCTACGTTGGAAAGCACATGTTAAGAAAAAAAAGGAGGAATTAGAAAATAAGTTCAGAAAGATGTACTGGTTGATGGGAAAAAAATCCACTCTGTCTATTTACAACAAATTGGTGTTATATAAGCAAGTCCTTAAACCGATATGGACATACAGCTATGGGGCTGTACAAAAGAAAGCAACATCCAACATATACAACGATATCAGAATAAAGTATTAAGGAACATCGTTAACGCTCCATGGTACTTTAGAAACTGTGATCTTCATCGAGACCTCCAGATAGATACAGTTATCCAGACAATAAGTAAGTTTGCCGACAGCCATGAACAAAGGCTCTCCAACCACGTGAACGTCGAGGCCATCAAACTCCTAGACAACGCAAACCAGATAAAAAGACTAAAGAGAACGAAGCCGTTTGATTTAGTGCTATAAGTGAGTGAAAGTGAAAAAGCAGAGTAAAGTGCGGCTAAAGTGTACACGTTAGCTAGTAGTACTATAATGTATTAGAGCCTAAGGAATATTGCTGAATATAACCTTAGATAAGTTTCTTGTAATATTTATATATAGAACTAAGTTGCTTATTGATCATAGTAAATGATCAGATAGCAATAGTCATAAGATTCCTGTTGGAGTTTTATTAAACAAAACAAGGAGGCATCACTATAACAGAATTACTAAAACAATTTTAAAAATGCGCTCAATGGATCAAGCAATCCAAAGCCATTAAAAAAGTAACAGTTATTCGAAATGTTCTCTTATCTTTCCATTATATCCGTACCATCGGTTTATATTGTTTCGTTCTTGGCCACTATTTGGTTTATCTTTATTTTCTTGTTGCTTTGTAGGTTTTTCAGTTTTCTATAAAACAACTTTACATTATATTTATTGTTTTATTCCATTTTTTCTCTGAACTTGTCCCAGCTTTTCTTTTTGCATTTGTCTTTCATGTATTATTTCCAAAGTTTCTACTTTTATTTTATTTCGCTTTTTACCTCTTTGTTTCACCAAGGAGTCTGTTTTTCTTTTCTATTATTTCATGTGGTCCCTCATACTAGTTTTGCTGTATTTATTATCACGTTTCTAAATTTGTCCATCTTCTTCTACTATTTCTGTCGTTTCTCGTTATTTGTCCATTTACTTCTCTAACACCATCTAGTATCTGATTTACGTTGTTTCTTTCCTTAGTTTACATAATTTTAGTTACGACCTTCATTAATTCATTAAAAAGACTTAACAAATTCCTTTTAATCTCTACTCAAATTTTATTTGTAAATATTTTATTTAGTTTATATAATAATTAAATTTTTAGTTACACAAAGATACAGGAACGCAATCATATCCGCAAAAACCTATCCAAGTGCCGACATAGGATCAGATCATAACTCAATAGTGACAAAAATTAGGCTCAAAATGCAAATAATAAAACGAAGAATAACAAATGTGAACGAACTCATATTCATTAGTCATTAATGAATGTTAAAGATAAACAAATTCTGCAAAATACTGAGACGGATAAAAAATGGTTATTAATAAAGACAGAAATCGATAAAAGTCGAAAAAAATTCTAATGACAACCAGATATAAAATGAAGCAATGGATGACGGATGAAATTATAGATTTAATGGAAGAATATAAAAACAAAGATATTGAGATGTAGAAAAAAGTAAATATACAAATAAAATACAGCATTAAGAAAGCGAAAGAACTATATGGTTAAAAGAACAATGCGCAGAAATAGAAGAATACCATCAAAGACATGATAGTTTTAACACACATAAAAAATTAAAGAATAAACTCACGACAATAAAACAAGAAAACCGGAAATACTAAAAGATGCTAATAGAAAACTTATTAAATACTAACGACAAATTAAAGAGATGGACAGAATACATCAATGAACTGTTCAAAGACTATAGAACAGAGCAAACAGAGATAGAAGTAGAAGAGGGTATGGTTTTAAAGATATTAAAAGAGGAAATTAAAATGGCATTAAAAAACAGCAAAAATGGTAAAGCAATAGGTCCAGACCAAATCCCTATAGAAATCTTAAAATGCATAAATGATGAAACCTTAAACATTATAGTAGACTTATTTAACTCAGTATACAAAACAGGACACATACCAAAACAATGGTTACTCTCCAATTTTGTGCTAACCCTAAAAATACAAACGCTAAATATTGCAGTGAATACAGAACAATATCACTAATAAGTCACATTCTCAAATTATTCTTGAAAATAATATATGGTCTTATAAATAAAAAACTGGAAGAAGGAATAGATGATAGTCAATTTGGGTTCAGAAACGGACTAAGAACCAAATAAGCGTTATTTGATTTAAATGTGTTAGCTCAAATATGCATGGATATGAATGTTGATTTTGAAAAAGCATTTGGCAAAGTTAGACATAAAAAATGGGTCCAAATTCTAAAGAAAAAAAAAACACATAGACCATAGGGACTTACGAATAATTACAAACCTCTACTGGAATCAAGAGCACAACTCGTAATAGATAACAAAGCAAATTCAGATGACACCGTGACTATGGCAAGCTCTGCTGAACAACTCCAATTACTGCTAAACAAAACAAACCGTTTCTGTGAAAAATATGGACTAAAAATGAATATAAAAAAGACCAAATACATGATAATAACAAAGAAAACAAATATACCAACAAACATACATTTGGGAAATGTACCGATATAAAGGGTTAATAAATACTAATACCTAGGAACCTGGATTTCAGAGAATAATGATCAAACAACCGAAATAAGAGCCAGCTTTACGTTTGTAAAAATGAAAACAATTATCTGCAACAAAGACTTTAGATTGGAACTAAGGGTAAGAGCAATGAGATTCTACGTGTTTTCGATACTGCAATATGGACTTGAAAGCTGGACGTTGAAGCAAGGACACATAAATAAGTTACAGTCCTTTGAAATGTGGTGTTACAGGAGGATGCTTGGAATAGCATGGACACAAAAGAAAACTAACACGAAAGTATTGCGAGAAATGGGCAAAGAATGCGAAATAATAAACACAATAAAAGTAAGAAAATAATAATATTTGGAACACTTAATGAGGGGAGAGCGATATGAACTGCTAAGGCTGATAATACAGAGAAAGATAAGAGGAGAAAGAAGTATAGGAAGAAGGAGAGTGTCATGGTTGAAGAATTTAAGTGACTGGTTCAAATGCAGTTCTATATAACTCTTCAGAGCAGCAGTAGATAGAGTAAAGATCGTGATGATGATATCCAACCTCTGATTGGGAGAGGGCACTTAAAGAAGAAGAAGAATTCAATTTACTGTTAAGTGATATTTATTTATATTTTATTATTAATTTAATATTTAGTCTGATTTTGACAAGTCTGTTAAAAGTAAACAATGTATGCTTTGTTGATACGTTAACAAGTGGCGTTAGGAGGAAATATAAGGATTTATTATTTAATATAAGTATTTTAATATAATTTAATTTGTTTAATAAAAGATAGATAGTAAATAAATAATAAAATTACTTTCTATAATTTTAAAAATATTACTTCAATTTTAAAATATATAGAAATCATAGCATGAAGCTTCAAGCTAATCTACTGTACCACCTACTGTACAGCCTTTTTCTATTTATATATTGCAACCTTTTATTGGGTTAATGCATTCTTCTTTATATTTTTGACTATTTGTTTTTTTTTTTAATTTTATCTTATTTTTACCTTATTTTGT